GATTTCGTAACAATATTAAAATTAAAATATCTCTTAAATTAATGAAGTCTGGGCATAAATAAGTTAATATATGTTTGATGAGAATATCAATCTTCATCGACTGATATAGTAAAAGATGTATGGTCCCATTCAAAAAAATGTTAGTGACCATCGTACATCATCTATGTGTTCATCTACAAAAACACTACTTGAATTATTTTTCGCTATGTATAATAATATGGACGAAAGACGAGGTGGAAATATCCCGTAGACCACTCTGTTTAATCAACATCATTGATTGTCACATGTGCCCATTTAGCAGGCAAATTAAAAATTGCTACCTGCAGGTGATTCCCAAAGAGGGAAATAATGAATCAACTCGATACATTATTATATAGAATTGCATCTTTTCAATCCAATAAACTTCGCACATACGTTACTATTCGTGAGTTTTATTCGTTATTTATTACTCGAATAAAGTGTTGCCTTATAAATTATATACTGTTAATAATATCAGCTTTTGTAATTAAAAACATCTTGTTTAAATGATTTAATTGATCGAGAGTAATTGTACAAGAGTTTCATTTGTTATTTACTATTTGAATAAAGTGTTGCCTTTTTAATTACACACTGTTGATAATATCAGGTTCCATAATTAATAACGTGTTGTTTAAACGATTAAATTAATTGGAGGCAATTGTATAACACTTGATATTCGTAAATCTACATCTTGTGATGATAGAATATTCATTCCTCGTACCCCATCTCTTATTTCACGTTTATTCCCCGTGGAACTTCTCACCACGTTTCTAATAACACCTTTATGCAACGAGTCTCTTTGACGCAGAAACCGACGCCTATGTTCTAATTACCTGCAGTAAAAGCTGCACTGGTTAATGCGTTCTGTCTATAAAACCGGCGGGGGGGGGGGGGGGCTTAATTTATCGAATCATCTCGATCTTGGAACCCGCGTCGAGTTGGACGATAATTTGCACCTTTTCTCAGAATTATTTCCATGCACAGGAACCTCGTCGGAAAATAGTTCATCTAACGAAATTAATGAGACGACTGACGAGCGTAATTCAACTGAACTTTTTTTAAACTTCTTAACTAGATTTAAATTAGTAGTGTTGGCGAACGTAAAAACATATAGATGTTTAAAAACGTTTTCTGTTCTTGTAGTCCCTCTTAGAATTTCTCTAATGAATAACTTTTGTTGCGGTACCTTTTTCTTTTTTAAATTGATCCGTTATTAACCATTTTTTTTTTTCTAGAATTTTTGGTAACAGTTAAAATTTTGTTTCCATATTTTTAAATGAAACTTTATACTTTGTAAATTCAAACCACACGATATACAAAATACAAATGTTTCGATTAATACGTCTTAAAAATATTTTATTTCGTTAGATAATTGTTTCCTTTAATTAAAATAGTGTCGAAGTGATATATTGAAAAGCATTGCGACGTCTCTGTTCATTTATACAAATTAATATCTACAGAGATATTTAACAATATTTATGCAGAGGGATTATGGAAAATCAGAAATTAAACATGTTCCTCGTTTATTAAATAAATTTCAATTAATCACTAAGGAAGAGAGCAAGGACAGTCGCAAATATTTTAACCAAGACTGCTCGTTAAAATCGAGTTATGAAATTTTCCAAAAGGAGATCAGACTGAACAACAAGTTCGTAAATCGTTCTTTCTTGTTTTCGATCTAGTAAAAATGATAGCACTATCGGCGACTGTTTTTACAATTATCTATATTCTTCTAAACGTATGATGAGATTAGACGCTTTCTACTTCTTCTTAGCAGTTGTGAAATGTGTTCTTCGACAAATTGAGAAACGTGTATAAAAGAACAATTCCCACTTTCGTGAAATGCTTCTACACATTTGTTTACAAACTTTATTAACCGTGATGCGTAATGTTGATCAGAATATTTGGTAATCTTATCTATTGAATCTCAAGTATTGATTGACTATCGGCAGGTTGTATTAGAGTGAACAAAGGCGAGATAGAATTTTTCTCATCCGAAGTGAGATGTATTTTTATAGATTATGATTGATAGAACTTCTAATCCTGGTTCAAATACATTTTTCTTTCGTATGAATAATCGTACTCGGAGCTTTATCTAATCATTGTACCGTAAATTGGAACGGAAGCATTGATTATGTTTAAACAAAAAGTGGGATTACTGTAAACATTCGCGTTTTCGAGAGCAGTATTATAAACATCTTGTTCGTATCAATGTTTCTGCGCGAGGTGAAGATCTTCTTCAAGTTTGCTGTGCCATGATTAAGAAAGTTTAACAAGAGTATTAGAACAAGTTCAATACCTTTTATCCACATTTCATGCAGCTGAAAGCTTGAAATTTGATAACGAAACAATTTTGTTTTAATTTTCTGTTTGTATGTTCAACGTCATGTTAAATCTGGCCAGTTTGGTGTCTGAATTCGTGCAAAACAGGATCGATAGCAGAGAGTTTGTTGTGGTCTAGTTTGCCCTACCCAGAGTCTGATTCAGTTCTGACACAAATTTTCTACTTGGTCGCTGTCTTCTCCTTTTTCAAAAGACGATGTTATTCATTTCACTTGGCGCTTGTTTTCCATTCCTTGGACCTTGCAGTTTTCCATTCTTTAGATTTACGACAAAAGTTGAATGATTCATAAATACGTAACCTACTGTCTGACTAGAATAAAAATTTATTTGATATCGGCGAATAATTTTCTTAAAATAAGCATTACAACAAAAATTTGACGAATTGCTAACGTTAGACAACAAATTTTTTCAAATATTTATAAACGGTGAATTCTTCGCTCTGTATAGTCATACAAAATAAATAAAGTCGATTGTTTGAAAATTAAAAAAGAAATGAAATTAAAAATTTAACGAATATTGCTGATTTTAGAAAATAAATTGTTTCGAATATTTACAAAAGGTGAATCCCTCACTCTGTAGATGAATGGAGTCGTACAAAGATAGAACCGATTGCTCGAAACAGGAAGATAATACTCCGTTTTGGAAAAGTAAACATTCGGATTTATGAATCCTGCAGTTCCGTTTTTATTATTAACAAAGCAAGTTCAATGCGGTGCGTTTTTTTTCTCTGTTGTTGTATTATCTTCGCTTCTATAAATAGGAACCGATGCAAGGTAGAGCAGATAAAGAGAAGATTCCTGTAAAATTTGAAACGTGTTTCATCATATTATACGGTTCGCTCGGTACATGTCACGAGCAGATAAGAATTCGAGACAATTGCGTTGATAAGAGAGTAACCCTCGAGTTAAATAGGGACTCGCGAAAATCGAACCTGGTCATCGTGAAAAAGCGAAACATTAGTTTCATTAAACGATTATAATAGCCTAAGTAACACGATTATTCAATTAGAATGAACACCTTCGAGATAACAATTACAACTTGTTGTTAAATGATCAAAATATTCAGTTATGACTGATAAGGGAAGATCATAGTCTAGATTAACGTGTATCATGCATTAGTCATTTTATGATGGTGCTATACGCGGAGCAGCACTTCTTCGAGTTGATGATAAAAGAATTTAAATGAGAACCACTTTATCATTTCTTGGGTTTCAGGTTTTTCATATGCATTCATGGAAATTCACGTGGAAACGTGCAACGAATTTTATATTCACAAAAGTTTCCTGATCGTTTGATTGCGTTCATATTTATTTCCAGCAACATCTCGATTTTGCTGGTTTTGAATTCAAACGAGGAACCCTATGAATTGTATTCACAGTTGCTCTTTTTCCATTTCGACCTAGAAACGGTTTTAAGGGTGGAAACATCTCCTCGAAATAATTCTGGTTATTTATACTTTTGCTAACATCTCGGTGAAACCATAAGAGACATTGAAACAATTTTAAATACAAAATTTAATGGTTTTTAATATTCTATAAAACCGTAGTAAGAAATTAAAAGAAAAAATTTATTTTTCGTGATATTTCTCCCACCATCAAAAATTGTGTTTGCAATTTTTTGGACGTTTTCATACCGTTGAACTTTCATTTAAATAATTTTGTTGTATCCGTTACCAAAGGGGGACATCTCGGATGATATCTTCTATCGAAAAAAGACATCTGACCGGGTTGAAATTTCCTTCTGCGAGACTTTGCAAGAAAGCCATGAAAGATAATCTCGCTAAATAAAAACGTTGTATCAACTAGCTCTCTTGACCAAACATCGGTATCTAATCATTGTATCGTGTAGCTTTAGAACTGTAGACAATAAAATTTCATCATAACTTATTTCCTGTAGATTTTTAAGCATCGACGTCCTTGGACGAGAGAACGATCACCCTTTATATTTTTCACCGATTTTTAAGAATGATTTAACATCCCAAATTCGAACAGTTCGTTAAAATTGAATTGGAATTGGAATGTAGAATTTTTGTTAGTTATCTACTGAAAATGTCGAGAAAAATGTGGAGTGGGTACTAAGATTAGGGGAATGAGATACTTAATGTCCTTGTACAATGTACATAGAAATTAAAAGGTTGTGTGTTCAAGTATCACACTACGCAAGCAATACATAAGAGCAAAAGCTCTACAATGGATAATGAAGATCATATTAATTAATATGATATCAAAGAGATAATACAAATTATTTCTATAGATTAAATGGAGAGATTAAGATAAATCGTCTAAATTTAAATACCGATCGATTAAAGCACGCGGTGAAAAATATCAGGGAACGTGGAAGAAAGTATTTAAAATACAATAGTGTGCCCTTTGAGTATTTGTTGTAATATTAAATAGTTCTAATATTCTCTGGAGAGGTTATATCTTTAACCTCAGCTATTCTATTTACCTATTAGTAAATTACAGTTAAAGAAAAATTAGAGCACACAATTTTGTTCAGTTATGTTATAAGCTGTAGCTCAAAGCTCTCAACCTTGTTATTAGATAATATTATTAAATATCAGTATGCAAGCGATTGAAATTCCATTAAGCACTAAAACTTAATTAATTTCGTAATAACACTGTTTAATTATGTTTATAGGAACTCGGCTCGCAGCCTCTCCCTACAATCGTAACCGAAGATGCAGATAAATCAAACCAAGCTTCTCAGGATGAAGGTCACAGACCTCGAGCAGGTGCGATCATTGCTTACGTTTTATCTTTGAATCAAATGCCGTAATCATTTTTTTTTTTTTATTGAATTCTGAGAAAATGTACCAATGCCAAAGGGAAAGGAACATTTCTTTGTGATTGACTTTCTTAAACTCTTTGTGGATGGACATTATGCAGCAAGAATATTTAATAGAGGTTTAATTTTAGTGTAGAAGAAGGAAACAAGGGAATTAGTAAATGTAGTCACAAAGAGTTAAGGCTTCAATGTTCCTCATCACCTATTTGGAATATGACCAATTACTGATTTATAGTTTTAATTGCGACAGGAACATGGGGATCGCACTCGAGGACTATCAGGAAGCCAACCTCGGGAAGCGCTCCTGGCTCTGGAAAGTCAACACCTCTTCCGCAGCAACCGGAGCCTTCATGTTCATGGAGTTCGGGCAAGAGTGGGAAGAAAGCTTCAGGCACCCGATCTGGGTCCACTAGTCGAAGTAATAGTCGCAGCAACAGCGCTGAACGTAGAAGAAGCGGCGGAACTATCGATGAAACCGCCAGTCCCACAAGAAAACCTGCGCTCTTTGACGCCTTTAGGCCAAGGAGCAAGTCTGATGCTAGTAAAAGGAAGCCCAGTCTTATCGCGAATATGAAGAGCGCTGTGCAGGTAAAATAATGTTCTCGTTACGATTATTCCTTCTATCTGAATATTTTACATTGAAGTTTCGTAGTATAAGCCATGTCCTTTGGATGAGATACTCCGACGTTTTACTAGCATTCCAGCTAGCTTCTTCAGAGATCAAATGACACATTGATATCGATCGAATAGATACAGATTAAATGTCATTTGATCCCTGAAGATTCTAACTACAATACTAACGAAACGTCGGAATATTTCATCGATAGGACATTGCTTCGAGCCTCGGTTAGTATTAATTATTTAGGAATTAATATTAATTAAGGGGAACACCATCTTTCTATTGACAGAATACTACGTATTTTACAGCATTCGTTGCATAGAGGTTCGCATGGAAGTTCGTCGACAGATGTGCGTACAGACAAGGATCATCACAAAGATGCTAAAGAGAACAAGGATGGAAAGGAAACCATGGGACGTCCGCGAGCTGGATCGGAAAGCAGCAGGAATCCTGTGAGCAAAGTTATGAATCTCATCAGGCACAGAAGTCACAGTGCACTTAGTTCAGAGGACAAACGGAAAGCGGTGAGTAATTTGAATTTGTCGTTGCATAGAATTTTCTATTGAATTTTTCATGCGTTCCGAGATTCATTACGTAAAAAAGTATGAATGCGTTAATACGAATATGTAGTGAAATTCATTTGCTAAGTGTTTGAGGTAAGAACATCGAAGGTTAAAAGCACTACTCCCGTATTTCATCCTTCCGAGTATGAATTTCTTGGTTTTGTGAATAGAATGTGTTGAGTGTGCTTAACAACAATACTTCCAATTTTGAAGTGGAAAATGTAATTAAATATTGTAAGAGCAAATTATGCTAATAGATGACTCTGTCTCTTTAGAGAAACTTCTACATTTTTAGTGGCGAAGTAAGGTATAAAATCACGTGACTGAAGAAAGAAAGTCACTGTAATAAATATGTCATAGATTAATTCAACAGTATATAGTTTATAATTATCGACTGAGCACCGGAAACTCACGTGAGAATAGGTGTCTACTTTATCGTTCCTAGTAACAGTTGATAAAGATACCACCTTCTTTCCAACGGAAGTATTGCATCCCAATAATCCAGTAGATAAATTTTGTAAGGTACATATAAGAATTGATAATAATACAGTAACGTAACTCATTTTCAACAAATATTTGCTTAACCGCCTTATAGAGAATAATAAGACGAAACCTTTTAATATTTACAGTTTATTCATTCGACGTTTAGTTTCAAAAATAAAAATTTAAAATTTAAAAGTCCTTTTTCTGAAATTCAATTACATTTTGAAATATAAATCGCTCTAACTTGGCCGAATGTCATCGAAATTCCATTACTGTTTATTAATATTTAATTTCGATGTTTCGAACTGTTCTCGCAATCTCAGATGTTCAAATGTCGAATGTAAAAAAGATTTGACGAGAATAAGTTGGCATTGTTTGAGTAGACCAGTGTTCCTCAATCTTGATCTTCATGTGAAGCTTTTTGATCAAGGAAAATTGACAGATCTTATGAATTATTAGTAAATTCTTATTTAAGAAAAATATAATTTAAATATAACTACCAACAAGTCCTTTTCTAATAATTTTCTTATATTTGCTTAATTTTCATTTATTCTATATTTATCATCAACCCTTCTATTTTTCCTTTGCTCATGTTTTGTTCTACCTTCTCTAATACAGCCAAGTTTCAATGAAATAGAAACTTTAATTTTTCCATTTTCATTTATCCCTTAATCTTCACCAAGCTCTTTTCGTACAATTTCGTATACGTTTCTTCATTTCCAATTACTTAATACTTATTATGAAGCCTCATTTCCTACTCTTCTCTCTCTCTCTCTCTCTCTCTCTCTCTCTCTCTCTCTCTCTCTCTTGAATATTAAGATATGTTTCTTACTCAGGTTTTTTTTAAACTAAAAGCTTAGTTTGAGATTCGGTGGCACCATTGGCTCGCGTTCGAAGCGTAGTACTCAAAATTACGCGGTGTTCTTCATTCCAACGTTTCAGCTCTCGGCAGAGCGTGACTTTTAAAAACGAACAACCGCTGCTGGTCCGTCCCTAACAATGGTATCTCCGCGAACAAAAGGATGATCTTTGAAAGCAGAGAACACATGTTTTGACGTCGACGATTATGCGTCTCCGTCTTTTCTCCGCACAATTCGGCTGACTAGAAAACTAGAAAACCTTGTCGGCGTGCATACATTTTGTGCAACAAACTCCAGTTTTGTCCGTTATTACGTTCGCCCAACCGCTGTGTTTCTACCCGAGAATTTTAATTTTCAACTACGAAATAAACCGTTCGTCGTTTTATACGTTTCGCGTGCGTTGTTAGCGTCTTGCGAAACGCAGTTTAATATCAAAGGAAATGGTGCTGTTGGTTGAACAGCGGCGGTTCTCGTAATGAAGCCGTAAATTGCATCTGTTCAAATATTGATGTCACTAACTCGCGCCCCGTTCCTGATTATTTTAATAAGTTTCGCCGCGGACTCGAATGCTTTCTCGGCGAACCTTCGGTCTTCGGATCTTGGGAGGTTTTCGAACGATCGTGTTTACCACTCGAATTATCGACGACGCTCGAATCGAAGTTAATTCTTAAAAAATCTTCCCTACCCCGCTCGGTCCTCCAATAATTCCAAGGTTTGCAGTTTGAAATAATAAATGAATTTTTACGGGGTATTTATTGGGTTGTATGATAACAAAGTTCTGTTGTACATTTAAATCATCTTTCTGTTTATTTTAGAATTATTAGAATCCCAACATTAGATATTGCACACATTCTTTTGGTAAAGTCATATAATACAAGAATTACAACGTAAATTAAAGAAAAGATAAATAGATTAACGTAGCCAATTTCAGATGTCACGAGGTAAATAGTGAAGCAAAACGTAATAATACTATGAAACATAATTGTCAAAGGTTTAAAGATTCATTAAAATGTATTTAGGTTTTAAAATTTGTATGTTTATTTTTTGCCTCAATGTCCAACATTTATACAGTGTCGTCCCACTGTGCGGCGTGACCTTTTGCGGGGCCTGAATTCACATTCAAATCCTACACTTCAATTTTACAACGAGGAATTATTTATTTACAAATGCTATATATTTTTTATAAGATGAATATTAAATAATAATATTTTGATGATTTTTGTTACTCCTTTCGATTTAATCATCGCTACTAAAAAAATGTCTTGCATCTCAGCAGAAATTGCTTCCATTTGTTAATGGTATCATCAATCTGTAAAAAGTTAATCAAAATCGGTACCTTTTAATTCAGTAATTTTCGTAGACCGCGGGACCTTTTAAAACGCGGGGCCGGGTTCCGGCGAACGCGCTGAACCTGCCTTGCGCCGGCCCTGCTGCAAGAGTTTATACATGTATATTGATGTCATTCAATATATTCTACATAATGTTACGTTTTATTTCAAATTAATCTGTGCTGGGAAAATAAGACGTTTCAGTTTATCGTGTCCAACTAGATTTTTTATAATCAATTTTGTCGTACTCTTTGTGAACGTGATACAGTACTGTGCTTCTAGATAATTAGATATTTATACTTAGAGTTTTGTGTTCGTTTGATACGTATTGTGCATTTTTGTACAAGCCGATTGTTCACGTGCAGAGTTCTGATTACACTTTACTCGTAGTTAAATTTCAACAAGTTCGTTACACGTGACTGTTACAATCAATCATTCAAAGAACAAAACCAAGACCTCAGTATTTTTTTAATTAATTTCTCAAGTAATATGTATATAAATGCACTTAATAAGAAAGTAGCTTCTTTAAAGTTTCACGAAATTTTTTCAAAAATTCAATTGTATAAAAGTTCTTCACATGAAAGTCATATTAAATGTCAAGATCTTTTGGTGAACAGTCCCTGAGATATGAAGTAAACCAGATGTCAATATATACATTGACCAAAGAAGTATACCAAATTTCTAAATTGTTTGATATACCACTGTTGGGATACGAATTAAAAAAGACGTTAACATACAGTATGCGCATTCATACATACATTCATATATCCATACATGTAACGTCTCAAATATTGAATGACATCAATGTCAGTGTATAGATATCAGTATACTAAATTTCCATATTTTTTTTAAAAGCTGCTTGAGGTATAAAATAAGACAGAAGCTAACATACGTTCAATATAAATGTAATATACTTGTATGTTGGAATCATTTCAAGATTTGCGTCTTTCACATAGGTGTATCTTCTCCACCAAAATATTTTTTATCCCGAACGATGACCGAAACCGCAGATCATTTCAGTAAACTTTATCCTCGAATCACTTCATTCGATATTTCTTTAAATACTTAATAAGTTTTTTATAATACATATACACAATTCTCATAATATATTTAATTCGAATGCAACTTTTTTCGCATATACGCCCGAGACTCTGGAATGACGTTTTCTGAGACATATTTCAGCGAAATTGTCTCTGGTGTTTTAAACGTTTCTTCCCGTATGCCGTGCGACTCGTTAGCACTGAAACCTGTTTGCCTCCTCGTTCCGATCGTAACACCGTGGGTAATTTCGTTCCACTGTATGAAATTTACCCTCCTCGGTTCTCTCCACCGGCCAATTTCGCGTAATTCTGCATTCATTATTTTATGACAACTCCGCGACGGTCAGAATTCAGTGTAACCGTGCGATATCGTTTTCGTTAAATTCGTTACCAGTTCACGCTTCGCAAGTGTAAATTGAACGCCTCGCCGTTCCAGATGTTTCTCGTCGTCGGTTATCCTTTCTGGGATACTGCTTCTTTATCTCGTAAAAACTTTGAACGAATAATTAGTCCGATCCGGTAGGTAGTTTCCACGCTGTGCAACGTTCAGCCTTCGTTAACACGAGATTAAACAGGTACTCGAATAACAGACCGATTGCTGTCTTTGATCAAATTGTTAGAAGTCATGACGAAGAAGACCAGGTATTTTTTTTTTTTACACTTGAGAAATGGAGAGAAATATTATACCGATATGTCGATTTTAAATGTTAGTTAGGTACATTTTGTCTAGAATCGCCTGTGTTAAAACTTGTGTCTTGTATTAGGTTGTTCCGAAAGTTTCTTTCGTTTGATCAATAATTAATATATACACAATATTTTATGTTTTATGTTACATTATTGAATCGTGTACGATTCATTTCGCTTCATTACTGTTACAGCATCAATGTCTAAGAAATTAGATTGTCTATTTATATAAACACTGGCACAGAAAATAATTGAATGCAACTCACGAAAGAAACTTTTGGGACAACCTAATACTTAGAATTAGATTAATGACTGTAGGGACTGGTGGTGCCAGTTTAGAGGCAGATTAGGAAAATAAAAGAAATTAAAGTTATTATTTATAATTTATTCCAATGGGAACTTGAGGTTTTGTCTTCTACAATTGAGCCATCCACAGAAGTTTTACCATGATTGAAATTCATGATTTCAGTACTACTGTGTAATAATTATTTGTTAGATCTAGCTCAGACCTAATCCATTTATTATCGTACATGTAATTTTTCTGTTCTTAATACTCAATGAAGCTT